CTGTCTCTCGGTCTCTTGCTCTCGCTCTCTTGCTCTCGCTCTCTTGCTCTCGCTCTCTCACTCGCTCTCTCGCTCGCTCTCTTGCTCTCTCTCTCTTTCTTTTTTTCTTTCTTTCTTCCTCCCTCCCTCCCTCCTTCATTGATTCTTGCCTTCCTTCTTCCCTTCTTTCTTGCCTCCTCTCCCTCATTGTCTCCTCTCATCTATACGTTCCCCCCCTCCCCCCCCCCCCTTTGAAGACCAATAGTGAACACAATCACGAAAATCCTAAAAAGATCTTACCACGTCCATGCTGGCGTTTTCCGGCGGCCGACTACCCACTTCCAGATGCATCCCTCGAATGTGGGAATAATCTGCAGTTTTTTTTTTTTTTTTTTTTTTTACGCCGAGTGTCTTTTCACAACTGATGAGTCCTCGCAACTAATGACTCTTCATAAGTTATCAGTCTTCGCAACTAATGACTTTTCACAAGTTATGAGTCCTCGTAACTAATGTTTTTTTTCTCAAGTTATGAGTCCTCGCAACTAATGTCTTTTCACAACTAATGAGTCTTCGCAACTAATGACTTTTCACAACAAGTGAGTCCTCGCAACTAATGACTTTTCACAACTAATGAGTCCTCGCAACCAATGACTTTTCACAACTAAGGACTATTCACAACATGAACACTTCGGTCTGCTATCAACCGGCCATTTTTGTTGCTGTTTCACATCTACAGGAAATCTTGGCGTCAACACAGCACAAACCCCAAGCTCTACTAAATCACTATATTCTGTGTTGAGCACCCTTCTTCTTCTTATCAGTTCTCCTAAGTCTTTATCGTATTTTTTTTTTACTAAGATAAGCGGCGGGTTTTTGTGCGTTTTTTTTTCTCTCTCCAGATGACAATGATAAGGCCAATCAGACGTGATCAAAGTGGCTCATAACAAGATAACATGCGCCATGCAACATTCTGAGTGATGGATGGGTTACATTATGTCAAAAACACGGGTTCTAACACCTCTTTTCTTGCTTTTTATGTGGATTTTCCGTCTGAATATGCACCAAGAAAGACCTTGAATGTGCAAAATCAAAGAAACAATTATAAAAATCAACAACCATTACGTATATAATCTATACTTAAGCTGCGAAAATAATTAAGCTGATACACTTGGCTGAAGGTATACATAAAATATCTTAGGTACTGTAGTGTACTAAAATACAAGACATAAGCGTTCTTCTTATACTAAACATACTCGGAAAAAATATCTATTATCGAGTAAAAACACTTCAGGCGGGATATCGACGTAGACGAAGATAGAGACACAAAGATTTAATAATATAATGGGCTGGGTAAAGTGCCCCCCCCCCCTCTTCTAAAGGTTTCAAATCTTTCAAAACCCATTCCTTCTACCAAGAGACAGGGCAGGAAAAAGACCGAAGAATGCCAAGACCGACAGAGGGAGATTCTTATAGGTTATACAATATTCACACATTCCCTAAAAAAAACGATATATCTAATGAGAAAAAATCCCAACACAGCAAAGCTGACTTACAAGCTTGGGGATCCTCAGAGGAAGAGCAGAGAGCTTTCTTAAACATTCAGTCAAGTTAACCATTACCACGGGACTATCGACCGACATCAAGCTTTAGGATTAGGGATCACAGTCAATAAGGAGAAAAATACGAAAAGATATCATAGCATATCAAGTCACAATCTAATATGCTGTGACTGAGACAGTGTTGTGAAGAGATGGAAAAACACGATTACGAGAACGCCTTTTCGTTTTCCTGTTTCTTTCCCGCCTCGACTTTGACCCCAACGTGCTGACGTCAGCATGCTAGTACTCACTCATAGCCGAGTCGATTGAATGGGGCGAAATTGCGATTGCAAAACCGAGCGCAGAGCGGTGAAAGTTCTAAAAAATATGAAAAAATGGACAACCCGAGTAATGTTTAGTAATAGATTGTTAACTGGACAAGAGGGGTGGAATATGATACTAAGACTAACCACATTGCAGATAGAATAATCTTATCACAAAACCAGTGTACTTCAACAAGTGATTATTAGTATCTGAATGACGTGGGATTACAGTGTTGCTGTCACGCTGTCAGCATAAACTCATGGATATATAACAACAAAACAGAAGACGTAAAATGAAATTTTTAAAAAGTAACCATTAAAATCTCCAAACAACGTTCTTATCACATGGCTACTGGCACCACTGCATTAGCCATGACTATAGTTATCAAATCTGAAAAAAATGACAGAAACTGAGGAGGGACACGGAGATTATTATATACTGACTGGGGGGCCACACAACAGAAGTGGTTGGGTGCCTCTTTTCACAGTTCCAACCACTCGACATCATGGGAGATATATTCCACTCCTCTATGAAGTTCACTTGTGTAGAATTAGCGAGAGGGACCTGGAGTTTCCAGCAAGGTGTAGGCGTAAAACTGATCTAATGTATTACTTAACCCAATGTCAGCGGGTTTATTTACTGTCCTCTTTAGATTTTAG